AAGAGGAGTTTACAGTATCAGACATGTGGGCTAATATCAGACATATGGACTTAATCTGGACAGGGCTGGGATTTTTTTTCTCAATATTCAATTGCTCTTGAATATAAAGCTCTTTCTTAAACACATATGAGATTCTATGAATTTATTTCTCTAGCCTACCCAGACTAACACACCATCTCATCAAGGATCTTCCTCTTTTGTGATGCCCTTCTACTTTATCAAACATTTTCCCAAGAACTGTCCTCTCCTGGTAATATATCCAAAGCACTTGTGACAAAGTCAATGGGTAGCAGGGGAACAGGGTACTAACCTACTCAAGGGGAGTGTATTGTTTATATCTCCACAGAGAAAGAGGGACCAGACTTCAGCCCGGCACTCCAAGATGTGAATGCAACACGCCAGCATGGAGTAGGGAACCAGTGGATAGGTCTGAGGGGTAGGCCCCCAATCCCAACTACGTAGACACCTGCCACTCCCCCCAGGAGAATTTATTTCAGAAGACAGCACTGAAGCTGCCTGCAGCTCAGGGAGAGGGGCATGTCTGATCAGAGCACATGGGAGCAAATGAAGGGGGAGGAAGAGAGAGTGGAGCACATCCTGGCCCAACAAGCCTTGAGGACGATATCCCTGCTCAGAGCAGCCAATCGACAGAGAAGACCATATGGCTGGCCCCACTATGAGACACCACATCCCTCACTGACCCATAACCCTACAGGGGACAACATGGAGACACAGTGTGGGAGTTGTGTCTGATCTGCTCCCACCACACCGAGACAAAACACTAAGAGCATGCAACAGAACAAAAAGGAAACAGAGCAACGAAGTCTCCAGGGAATATAAAAAATAGACTTTGGGGCCAGGTCTTGGCACCCCATCAGACTCAACCATAAAACACTCCTAAAGGTCAACAAACAGTCCTTGAATTAACTACAAGCTTTTCTCTTTTGTGGTTGTTGTGTTGTGTTTGTCATTGACTTTTTGTTTTATTTTATTGCTTAGTTTTGCTCTGTCTTGTTTTTGTGCATGTTATTATATCCGTAGGGCTGTCTAAATAAGATAGGCTGGATGAACAATCTGGAGGAGA